TCAAGGTACCACATCTCCTTACGTCGTTGCCGTGACGTTCCCTACAAAAGAAGAAGATGAAGGTGTAGTAGCTTTAGGTACCCATGTCTTGGGTCCTTGGTGGTTAGTAGTCTTGGTACCTTTGGGTACCCATATCAAACCATAAAAATCTTCATTGTCTTTAATTCTACAATGAGTAGAAATGTGTCCATGTCTCATACAATAGGTGCATACAAAATTTCTTTTGTATGTACGAATGTTAGAACCATGAAACCTATTTCTACCATGGTGATTGTAGTTGGCATAAGCATGAGTGGGTCTAGTCCTACAACCCTCAATTTCTAATCTTTCAATCTTTGATCTTAGTTGCTTATTCTCGAAATCGAGATCTCCTAGCAATTCATCTTTTAGAGCAAGAGAGGTTGTTAGTTGTTCTAGCTTAATATCACAAGAGGCATGCAATTTTTTAAAAGAAGAGTATTCTTTAGACATTCTTTTAAATTCAAAGTTTAACTCTTCTAAAGCCATAGCTATGTCACATTGCATATAGAAAGATTCACTTTCGGCCTCGGATATTACCTCATGTTCATTTGCCATGAAACAAACATTTGGGTCATGAAGAGCAAGTTTGGCTCCTTCTTCATCACTATCCGAATCACTTGGTTTGGATTCTTCCCATCCGGCATACATAGCCTTCTTCTTCTTGTACTTCATGTACTTTTCCTTGAGCTTAGGGCAATCCTTAGCGATGTGACCCGGTTCATTGCACTCAAAACATTTACCTACACGAGAGGAAAACTTGTTGTTAGATCGAGGGTTAAATTTCTTGTTCATTTTTATGAGTCTAGAGATTCTTCTAGAGAGATGAGCCACTTCTCTAGAAAAATCGACTTCACTCTCCGATGACGAAGATGAGTTGTCACTAGCTCCTTTGAGAGCTATGGTCTTCAACTTTGGTGACGGCTCCTCAACTTCACGTGATGACACTTCCTCCTTCTCCTTCCCCTTGAGCTTCTTCTCATGCACTTTGAGCTTTCCGATGAGGCTATCAAGAGCTAAGGTAGTAAGGTCATGAGCTTCCTCGATGGCCGTAGCTTTGGGCTCCCATGCCAGAGTCAAGGAGCGAAGTATCTTGTAGTTCATCTCTTGAATGGACAATTGCTTGTCAAGACCATGTAATTCATTAATGATATTAGTAAAACGGGAAAACATAGCATCAATGGATTCATTAGGAAGCATTTTAAATAGCTCATAATCATGCATAAGTCCACTAATCTTAGATTCCTTAACTTGGGGTGTTCCCTCATGTGTGACACATAATTTTTCCCAAATTTCGTATGCGGTTGCACACGTAGAAACTCTATTATATTCATTAGGGGAAAGACCACAAATTAAGGCGTTCATAGCCTTAGCGTTGAGATTAGCTAGGTGCCTTTCTCCATCGGTCATGTTCCCGACTTTGGACTTTTCTTCATATTTCTCTTCTATGAGCTCTAGAATGTCAAGGTCTATGCAACGAAGGTAAATTCTCATCCTAGCTTTCCAATAAGCAAAATTAGTGCCGGTGAAGAGAGGTGGCCTAGTTGTGGATTGTCCTTCTAGCATATGCATATTCAAAGATGCCTCCATTAGATCTTTTCTCTAAGGTTGTTAAACCAAAAACTGATATAGAGACCAAGCTCTGATACCAATTGTTGGACCCTAGAGGGGGGGTGATTAGGGTCAAAAGGCTCTAATATGCAGTAAAAATCAAACACAAGCAAACCACAAAACAGTAAAGCAATTAAAGTAAGAGAAATAGAGTTAGGAGTTCGTTATCCTTGACGCGCGATGTGTTAACGAGGTTCGGCCCTCTGGCCTACGTCCCCGCTCCCCACTCTCGAGGAGAAATCCACTACACACCCGGTTTGGAAGCCGGAACTTCGTCTACACAGCGATCCCACACGATCTCTCACTACACAGTTTGATCTCAACAGATCACACTCCCTCACAGTTGATCTACACAAGATCTCACTCACACAGCAGAAGAAAAGATGCAAGACTCTCTCTTTACACAGCCCCTATGGCAAAGAGAAGAATTAATGAAGCTTGGAAGTGAACACACACAAAAATCATAGAGAAAACATATTTGAAAATTTTCTCAGGAAGACAGCAGTCTCTCTGGTTTTTGCAAACGTTAGGGGAAAACATATTTGAAAATTTTCTCAGGAAGACAGCAGTCTCTCTGGTTTTTGCAAACGTTAGGGCAACTAGGAAGATGAAGGAGAAAGGGTTTAAATAGAAGAGATTAAACATTTTAAAAACACAATTACCACAGACTGTGCCAAACACAGTTAAGTGAAAATAATCTTCTTTTCAGACCATTACCACAGACTGTGCCAAACACGGTTAAGTGAAAGCACAGCAAACGAGGCAATCGACCGTTTGAAAAAAGTCACGGCTGAACGAAGAAAAATTTCGGTTGACCGAAGAGATTTTCGATCGACCGAAAAAATGCTTCGGTCGACCGACTGAAAATCCGGTCGACCGCGAACAACTTTGAAAATTTAGAAAATAAGCAGAGCCATCATCGGTCGACCGGCGCGGTCGACCGATATAAAATCGAGATTTCGGTCGACCGCACTGGTCGACCGACGACCTCTCTGGAGCCCAGTAACGAATGATCATATGTGCGGTCGACCGGTCCGGTCGACCGCATTCTGATACATTGTAGAAACTGATTTTTTTGACTTAACTAAAATATTTGCAAAATATTTATTTGACCTCTGAAAATTATGAAACTTTGTAAAATATTTTTAATACTAAAAACAAACTGTTTGGAAAAAGAATTTTGCAGATAGGTCCTCATACTTGTGAAAAATAGTATTTTGTGAAAAAACGCTTAAAAGCACAAGTAACTCCCTCGAGAGAAATTCAACTAAAAAAATAGGTGATTATCAAGTTTAACCATAAATGCCTATGTGAAAAAAAAAAGTATAGGTGTCGAACTCGACTCACAAATTGTGAGATAGGTCACAGGCCTTCGCCCCACAAAGGAGAGCAAAACGAGGAAATTATACCAACGACATATTCACGATGGATTATCTAGGCGAGACGATTAAGAGCCGCACTATACACACGAAGTATGGAATATATCATCGCACGAATAATGCGACAATATACCTATCCTTCGGAGTATAGTACGGCAAGAAATCGCCCTGAGATAATTTAGTCATGTCTTGACCAAGCAAAACACGACTTGTAAAGCATCCACCCCCACGAAGGAGGGTGGCGGCTCTTCCCAATTGCCTCACCAAGGAGAACAAAACGGGGATGCAACATGCAGTATGATATCTCGATATTTAACTCATGAATAAAAGAGGCGGTTATGATATACCTGTGCAGCTGAACGGCGCCAGCTCGGGCGACTGAGCCGCCGAACGGCCTCGAACTACGCGAGATCTCTTGGGTGACATATCTATAGAGAATTAACAGGTCAATTACGATGAAAATTGAGAAATATCATATTAATGCAAATAAAAATGGTGCTCCAATCACACTTAAGTAGCGGGCGTGGGGTAGGTTCAGTTTCAACCCGCAACAGGTCGTGCAACAATTTAAGCCTGAATTTCAGGATTTCGGTCAAAGTCACCAACGTGACCAACAATAAACCACGACGTGCCTACAAATCCGGTTAACAGAACAAAATTTCCGGCCACGACCACATGTGGAATTAGGATGCTGGATCAAGTCTAAAATCAGTCGCAGTTCAACATTGGGTATTCGGTCATTACCCAAGTCAGAAACCTACATTTTGGGTGTTCATCCACAATCGAATTCAAGGATCAAGATTCAAGGATCAAGATTCAAGGATCAGAACTTAAGCATTCGAACTCGAATTAAGCCTCCATCGAAGGTTCGATCACATTAAGAGGTCCAGAATATCCGAGCCAGATGTTTCAAACCAACATGTCAGACTCCATACACGACTAAGCTCAATTGTGGGATTCTATTCCAAGACCAACCAATCATTCAAGAACCCGAAGTCAAGAATTAATGGTCGGCCATCACACAAGAACTTGAAATCGGTCTTGGTGTTTCCCCCAAATCACAAAATCTAGGGTTTCGGGTATATTCTTAAAACCATAGTTCAATTAAGTACAGAGATTCGAATTAAAGCTCCAAGGACTGAAACATACCTGACACCTGATCGAAAACAGAGACGACAAACCCGCGTCGCAAATCCTCTTCAAGATTCAAATGAAGAACCCTAAATCCCTAAATTGAAGCTTCAAAGTTCTAGCCTGGCTCCCAAGAACTTGTGAAAAAGGTTTGAAGAAGTCGAGGAGGACTTAAAGAGAAAAAAGGAGGGAAGAGAGGAATTTTCGAACAGAGGAAAACGTCGAAACGAATGAAGAAGAAGAACAGTCAGGTTTTTAAAGTACCGCCCGAAGCTGGCTCGCAAGATCCGAGTCACCACTAGCTGACTCGCAAGACCCGAGCCACCATTAGCTGGCTCGCAAGATCCGAGTCACCACCAGCTGACTAGCAAAAACCCGAGCCACCATTAGCTGGCTCGCAACACCTCAGCGCTTACGAGCCACCATATGCTGGCTCGCATGCGTGGCGAGCTATTTGCCCAATTTCTGGACATTTTGACCTATCTTCGAGTGTTCCCGACACATAGGGTACCCGTATTCATACTCCAATGGGTATACGAGTTTAAACTGTTTCCCACCCTCGACTGGAAGTTTCTGGAGAATATCATGTAGAATATTCTTAAGGATAACCCGGCGACCTCCTAAGAGTATATGAGTATAAACTGGTTCTCTCCGCTTCAACGCATAACTTTTGACCAATGTCTGTCAAAGCGTCGTCAAATATGAATTCCCAACAAAGATAGTCAGCTCAACGTCAAATCAACGACACCATTTGGTTTCAATTCAAAACTTCAACATCGGTCAAACGATAAACGCAGAACCGTAAAAACTTCATCTATTCGATAGAACGCTGAATAGATTGAAGGCTGAAGGAGTCAAGAGATGAAGCCCATTACAGGTCCTTCTGCAGATAGGGCCTATCACATCCAAAGTATTTCAGGCTCTTTTATAAAAGAAATGAGACTGAAACACTTTGGAGGGGGTATCTGTAGGGGTTAAAAATTGCCTATAAGTCCTTAAACACAGTTCAAGATAAGAAAAAGACGACAAACGTTATTATCCAAGTCAAGGGAATTCGTGTGTGTATATTATATTGAGCTTAGAGTATCTAACACACATAATATAAAACCTAAACTAAATATACCAAAGCTTGATCTTGATCTTCAATAGGCTTGACTTGATATATTTGCGGATGAAGCTTGAACTTGATCTTTAACTTTGAATTGCAAGGCTTCACCGACATTCCGCCGACCTCCTTTGGATATGATCGTTGAAGCTCTATTCCATCCATCCTCCAACTACGTTGTTTGTCTATAATAAATAAGAAAACACAAATACTAGACAAACAACATTAGTGGTAAATTGTTTGTTAAACATCATCAAAACAAGAAGGCCAACAAGGTGCTGTCAAATTGTCCAGTTAACCACGAATTTCAGAGGAGAATCATCAGAGCTTGGCGAATACTTTCATAAAGAAAGCCCATTCGAAAGGTTAGTGATTCTTTCCCCTTCTTTCCTCCGGATTAAACTTGGTTTTAATCTCGAGAAGAGCCACAATCTCGCTTGGTCGTGATTGTCGCTTCCGCAATTGTTTCCTTCGTGAAAAAAGAGCGTAATTATATTGTCTATCGGGTTGATCTGCGGTGGTCCACGGACTAACGCGTCCCCGGCACAGGCAAAGATCTCACGCAAAGCAGCGGGAGATAAACTACTGCTGTGTTTTATTTGATAAAGTTGTAATGTTTATTTTTTGTTGTAAGAAGATCTTATAAAAAGATCAACTTTTCTTTCAGTTTGAACTCATAATCGATAAACGGTGTAACAGGTTTTGAAAACAATGGAAAAGGCAACTTTTGACACAAACAGTGACCAATCACCTCGTAATAAAAATGTCATTAAATGCATTATAGGCGCTATCATTCCTCTGCCCCCAATAGTTTGTATGACACATCGGACCACGTCGGTACCGCGCACCCTTAATCACTTTGCATTAAATACCGAATTAACCTCTCCTCCACTCGTCGGCCGACACATGTAAAACAGAGGATGACATGGCCATCATCCTATACTCAACCGAAGTTACCATGCTACCCTTCTACCACCACTATAAATAGGGATACTATTTTCAATAATAAGGTAAGATCTTTACCTCTATCCACTGTGCTTAAGAATTGCAGTTCATTTTACTTCTCTACTCAAGCAAATCACTAACTTGATCGTCGGAGGAACAACCGGGGAACCCAACTCTGCCCTCTTACGATTTGCTACTTGTGCAGTGAAGAACTACTTAATCCAGAACCAGACATTCAGAGGGTTAGAGGACATCTGTTAACTTAATCACTCCTTTTATTTGACTGTTTGATATCAGACATCAACACATCTAACTAGGGAGTTGGTTGTAGAAGTACTTGATTTTGTTTAAAATTAAATAATATCTACAAAATTGAGATCACTAGTTTTAAAAACCTCCAGTTTAATTAGAGTAACACTGTGTGCCACTATCTTGTTATTTGAATTAGAGATAAAAGGTGGGATTAGAGGAGTTAGACCCTCTCCAACTGCCACATAATTGGAGAGGGTTCGATTGCATAAAAAAGTCGTTTGTTAGTGTTGAGGATTCAAAACAATTAATCGAACCCATGCCCTTCCATATCTTGTGCTAAGAGTTTAACAAGTAGGAGAATCACTGCAAAAATAAAAGAAAAAATTACAGGAAAGATAAACAAGAAAGAGCACACCAGATTTAACGAGGTTTGACAAACTTGCCTACATTCTCAGGAGCCACACCACACAATTTTTTTGATTAATTGAAGAAGATTACAATGCCCACAAATAGGTTTTTTTATCTCTCTGAGATCTCTCTGAAAGAATCCACTCAAAACCCTCTTTCTCTATGTTGCATGTAACCCTAAAACCGTTTAGGTATATGTATCATCCCGGCCCAAAACAGTTTCCCAAATAAATTAGGAAACTGAAAAAACCGATTCCGGTCGACCGGACCATGGGCGTCGGTCGACGGGCCAGAACACACTTATATTACAAGGGTTTCGTACATGTTTTAGGTCGACCAGTTCATCACCTTCGGTCGACTGATTGGTCACCCTCGGTCGACCGATAACATAGCTTCAGTCGACCGACCAGAGCGTGTTTCTGAGCTCGTTTTCTGTAGTCTCTTCGGTCAACCAGGGTCATTCTGTCGGTCACTCCGTCGGTCGACCGACCCAAGATTTTTCAACATTGCGGATTTGTTTCAGGTTTCGATCTTCACACTTCCAAAGCCAATAGTTAGAACATCCCATAGAACGGCGTGCTCTGATCTATAACATTCACCGGTAGTTAGAGGTTAGTTTAGAAATCACAACTCTTTCATTTACGATGTGATTGCCCATGTGATTTAGATAGGGTCCCTATTGCAAATACTATTATTCAAAAGCCGCATGGTGACACCCCGCATAGATATAACAGACACACGTAGGCGTATAAAGAAGCATTCTCACGTAATCCTTTCCCCTCTCCAATCGCGTCAGTCCTCAGATAAACATTATAATATTATTCTCTCCTATTATTAAAATATTATAAAATAACAAAAGATTAATATTAGTCCTAATCCACCGCCATCCTTATATAAATCCCCTCTTAACTCGTTGCCGCGACCTCTTTATGTTTATTTCTCATTCCATTTTCACCAAATTATTACATTTATTTATTTGTTTCTATTATTAGCTTGGGACTTTGAGATGAGCTGGAGCCGGCTCACCTTACTTCTGTTGTCGGCGGTGACCGCAACTCCCAGGCAGTTGTCAACCCGGCTATAGCCGGTTCGTTCCCGCCGGCGCTGAAGCTAGAGAGAAGTTTACCGCTCAAAGGGGTGGATTTGCGCGAGCTGAGGGCACGTGACCTGGCACGTGAGAGGGCGCGCTTGAGTCGGAGGGTTCTTGCTGCCGGCGTCGTCGATTTCCCCGTTGAGGGGTCAGCAAATCCGTTCACCGTCGGGTAACTTTATCGCGCTCTTTTGTTTTTCTAATTTGATAAATTTGAAAAAAAAATTCCCTTTAATTGTGCACTTTCCCTTTGTGTATTTGGGGGTTTAGATGTCAAAATCAGCCCCCTTTTTCTGCTGAATTTGAGGAGTTGTCGGTGGTTAATTTTGGCATCTTTATAATTTTTAATTCCGGATAAAGGTTGATTCTTTATCACGTTTGGATGCGATTTCTCCATTATGTTTTTGAAATTGTAAAATTATTTTGATTTTTTTTTGTTAATGGGTTTCGGGGTTTTTTTCTTTAAATCTTTTGCTAATTTTTTTAATGGTGCGAGAGTAGTTGTTAGAATCATCCTCATATTGTTCTATCCATCAATTTTAAGTTGGGGTTATAAAATTTTCTGTAGGCTCTACTTTACTCGTGTAAAATTGGGCAATCCTTCAAAAGAGTTCTATGTTCAGATTGATACAGGCAGTGACATCTTGTGGGTGAATTGTGATGGTTGCAATGGATGTCCAACGAGTAGTGGACTCAGTGTATTTCCTCAAATTCTTCATGAAATTTGATTTTTATGGCTAAATGAGCTCAATGTACTTACGCACACAAGTGTTGATTATTCACAGATTCAGCTGGAGTTCTTTGATCCCCAGAAATCATCTTCGGCTTCGCTCATCGGCTGCTCAGATCAAAGGTGCTCTTCTGCTCTTCAGAGTGGAGAGGCAGCTTGCCCTGCTTCGGATTCTTCGATGAGTCAGTGTTCGTATACTTTTCAATATGGTGATGGTAGTGGTACGTCAGGGTATTATGTGTCGGATACGCTGTATTTTGATACTGTTACTGAGAATGAACAGTCTGCAAATTCTTCAGCTAATGTTATTTTTGGGTAAGAACTCTCACATTTGTTTTCTCATTGAAGTTCCTGTAACTGTTATTTGAGATAGTTAAGGGTAACGATTGATAAGAATCACTTTCTCCCTCTTCGCTACCAATACTCTCTCTGTGATAATTTACTAGTTTGTAGAGCTGTGAATGTTTCATTGTGTCTAGTCTTGTCTGACCAAATTTTGGTGGGTAAAGGGAGAGGTGATGATGAACATCCGTCAATGAATTTTTTGACATTGCCATTTTACGTTCTTAGGCTTCACAATTTTTGTGTGCGCTTGGTGATCACAGTGTATTCATGGGTTAAATGGTTTGAGCTCCTCATAATTCCATTGTTGATAGATATGTTGATATCCATATGAACATCATGTTTGCAGATTGTTGAACGTAGTTACTGATTGTGGTACCTTTTAATGTTTAAATGCAGTTTGCCCAATAAGTAGAGGTTAAAGCTACACCCATCTATAAAGTATAACGTAACTTATGTATGTAGAGGTGATTCAGAGCAGCTCCCTAAGTTCTATACTGAATTGGGGAAGTTGAGTTTAAAGCAACTACACTAGGATTTCTTCAATTGGACTGTCTTAAGGTGTGCCTGCAATGCTGGCTATGCTTTTATTTCAGAGTACACTTATGTATCTACTTCTCATATGTCCCTTGACAATTATTAATGATATGAATACCACTTTATAGCTGATAGATAACATGAGATATGTTTGGACTCACTCATTCGAATTGGTTTGCCTATGAAACAGATGTAGCAATTCACAGTCTGGGGATCTCACGAAACCAGATAGAGCAGTCGACGGGATTTTTGGATTTGGGCAGCACGAATTATCCGTCATTTCACAGCTTTCTTCTGCAGGAGTTTCTCCAAAAGTATTCTCTCATTGCCTGAAAGGATCGGATAATGGTGGAGGCATACTGGTTCTTGGGAAAATAGTAGAACCGGGTATCGTCTATACCCAACTTGTTCAGTCCCAGTAAGTTCTCTCCGGTGGAGTAATATATTATTTTAATACCAATACCATATGTTTCTTTTCAAAAGTGGTATCCTTGCATATATTCTAGTAATAACTATGCTTCCCGTTGTTATTATCAGGATTTTATCAACCTATATTTTCTAGTATCAAATCTAAACGTTTTATTGTTGAGTACCATGAAATATCTATTATTTACTGTTTTTGTCTCTTTTACTCAGCATATTATCTCAGTGTTGCTTTTAAATGACCTCGATTATGTAAAGATGAGAAATGTATCTGAGATTCTGAGGACATATTTCTTGTACTTTCACTTGTTCATGACCTACTAATTATCGTGTCCTGTATTCTTTTACCTTTGATTTAAGTTTATTTGTAATGCTGTATGTGACCTTATGACAATAGGTTGACATTTATAACTTTCTAATTTCTACTACTAATTTCATACCTTTGTCACTATACTCTGAGTAATGAGTGCTCTTAGAGCTTGTGCATATGCATGTTGCAAGGGTACCAGATTATGATCTGTTTTTTGCAAGACGCTTCTAGGCTGAGGCTTTCCAGGCTACTAATGGAGAGCATCATAATGGTTTTTGAAGTTGCGAGCCTACACAGAGGGATCTTTTTGCTGTCTATAAAGGGATTCTACTTCCTGTCGTCATAAGAGGATTAAAAACACCGGTTTAGTGAAAGATGGTGTTACAGTAGGGTTTTAAGTTTTCCTGTTTGATATATCTCCTTGGCCTGGGATCTCAGATGCTTATAGACCTGTGATATAGTTCCTGCATGTGCCAAGATATGGCCTCCATCTTGATGGGAAAGATCCGTTAGTTTAACAGACCTTAGGGCCAACTATATTTGCCAGCTTCATAGTGCTAGCATGAACATATTATATTTTAGCTGCTTAGAAAAATGAGTCTACGACATGCTGTTTCTCTCACGAGTTAAGGTATTTAGGACTTTACAAAACAGTCAAACTTCTAACATATTGCAGCTCCTTATAAGCTTTTGTGACATGTTATCAGTAACTTGATTATCAAGCTAAGCTATTTAGTACAATTCTCATACAAAATAGATGAATATTCAATATGGTGGCCGGAGATGGCATGTTCTAGTGTTTGGCAATAAAAACGTCTAACACGTAATCAGAATAAAAAATATGTTGAGCACAAAGTATTATGCCCCAAATTTTAACACCAATCATGTTTCTACTTTACTTCCATATATGAATAACAATCTAAGATATATTTGCATTAGTTAACTAAGCATACAATAGCGAAAACACATACACACTACTGTGCTTTTATTTGTTGGAAAATGAAGTGTTTTCATACTAAAATTTAGCCTGACAGATATCGATAAAAGCTTGGGAATATGTTGGAGTATTGAATTTTTCAGTCAATTTCAGGAAGCTACACTAATACACTTAGACTTATTTAGTTCAATATTAAAATGTTTAGCATAAAGCATAAAATGAAAAGAATGTCTGTTTCTATTGTTGCTTTCCTCATTCTTGTAGCATTGCTTTTATAACTTTTTATTTCTCTATATGTTGATTCTCATTCTCTTCATATCATCAGACCTCATTACAACTTGAATCTACTAAGCATTCTTGTCAATGGGCAAGAACTAAATATAGATTCTTCCGTGTTCTCAACATCAACGACACAGGGTACAATTGTTGATTCTGGGACCACGTTGGCTTACCTAGCAGAACAAGCATATGATCCTTTTGTTGATGCAGTAAGTTTTCCGTGTGATAAAAATTTAATTATTTTTTATCAGATGGTCGTGGCCTTTTGTTGGTTCAAATACTTTAACTCTTTAAACTGATACTTTCGTTCAAAGTTACTTGGGAACCAAGGTTTTCTATTTAGAAGTTGTGTGTGGCTTTAATTTCATATCTCTGCTTTAATTAGTTGCTTCTACTGCTGATGTTATTTTTAGTTATAAAAATATTAGAATGACGTTAATTGGAATATATTTCAGTTGTACTTGTGATAACCTGCTGCTGAATTCGGGACAAAAAAAAGCTTTAGGGGGTTAGTGATGTCACTTACTATGCAATGAATAGACATCATTATGTTGGCTGTATGATACGTCCACACTATTTTATGTTTGTAATAATAATTGGTGTAATGAAGGCAAAAGGATTCGCCTTTTCTAATAATCGCTTATAGGGCTTTTTCCCCTCTTTTGCTTACTTGTTCAAAATTTCTTGTGTTGCTTTTACCTAGAGTTTAATACTCAACAAATGACTCAATTATCTAATCCTTGCCTCTGTGTTAATTACCTATACATTCCCCCCAAGTATTTTCCCTTAAGAAAGTTATGCTTTCAATTGTTGACTTATTTACCTCAATATTTGTATCTGTAATACTTTCACTACAGGTAACAGTCTATATACCTGATATGTTAATCATATCAGTAAACGTAAGAAATGACATTTCATAATGGACGTTACTGACCAATACTATAATTTCATTTCTCTTCTTTTTGATTGATTTTTAACGTTTTCATTTTTTGCAGATAATTTCTTCTCTACAACCATCCCTAGTACAGTCCTTTAATAGCAAAGGAAACCAGTGTTTTGTTACAGCTAGCAGGTTTTGTTCTTAACCCATAATAAAATCAGTATCTTTCACGAATTTTAGAAATAAAGCTACGAAGTGTACATATCCCGTTTGTAATGCTTGTCTTGTTCCTTGACAGTGCTGATGATGTATTTCCTCCAGTCACTTTGAATTTTGCTGGGGGTGCATCCATGAATTTAAAGCCTTCTGATTATCTTATCCAACAGGGATCGGTTGTAAGTTGATCCATATTTATACTGCTTAAAATTTATGTTCAATCAATTATGAGTACATAAAGTAGTTGCTTTAAATAGCTAAAGAATGTTTGAAATTTTTCTATTTTCAGAATGGTGCCATTATATGGTGTATTGGTTGGCAAAAGAACCAAGGTGGAGTAACAATACTGGGAGGTTCGTGGAATAGATACACTCCCCTAATTTTTTCATAGACAGTTTTTACATATAATGATGGTGACACACGCATGCATTTAGTGTTCTGTACTATGATATTCTCTTTTGATCAGTTGCGTTATAAAATGCAGACTTTAGAAATACACTTATCTATTGGGTATTTCCTCTTCAGTATTTTAATCTGGAACAGGAGGTACTTGATAGTTTAATGCCTATGCAACAATTTGGTTTTTGATTCCTCATGATTTTCATTATAATACACTTATGCTAGGACTTTCCCATTTCCTTGATACGTCTGATGGTTTCTTAATCAAGTACAATGCATGCCAGTTCATTGAACAGCAAGATTATCATGTAAAGAGTGATGTTAGTGGGAGGTCATTCTTAATAGAGTTATTATGAGGAAGTTTCAACTAAAAGATTATTGCCTGAAAATAAAGGATCCTCATCTAAGAAAGTGTTTTATATTTGCGTTTGAAGTTCAAGGATTATAATATTGGGAAATTTGTAAGAGAAAGCATCTTTGAGGAGCTCATCAGCTAAATAGATGTACAATTAGCTGAACATGAACTCAAATAAAGAAACAGCTACAATGAATCTCCTCAGCAAGGAACCCAAAATTTTAGCTGCACATAAATGATGCATGTAGATGTTACACCATACTTTGTTCAGTAATTAGTTGATAGTTGAGTCTGTTATTAATTTTCACATCCATTTGATAGAGGCAGCTCTTTCGATGGAAAGATTGGATTTACAATTGGTTGTCACTTGTCAACCTAATATTAACCCTCCAAATAGGTGTAAAAAAATTCTAGTTTAAGGAAACACATGGCTCAGTGTAATACTGTATGGGATACTTTACGTTATTGGTCTTGTTAGTTACTTCCCTGCTATTGACAAGCAGTATCCATGATTCTCATATGCTATGCTACCATAGTAATAAGAGATCTTCTATTAACCATAGTGCCAAGCAGAGCACATTCCTCTAACGATTCTAGCTAGGAGATTGTATGAATTTCCTGATAACATTTGGTCTGAATTCATAATTTTTGGAGTACAGGTTAACACCACAGAATATTATATCAGTGTCGACTCAAGTTAGGGTTATATTATGTCAGATTATCACACTGTCGATGCACTTAAACATTGTGCTTCTGTCCTGTGGTTTCCCTAGATGCATTCCTGACCAAAAACCTTCTGAATGATTAGTCACCATAGCTCTCTTTCTTCTCTTTAACTATTGAGCCTGCATTTGAATTGGGACATGCTCCTTACAGACTGGCTTTCAGCATCTGAGATGGTTATTTATTTGGTTGTGCATATTGCATGTTCAAAAATTGTGAAGAATTATTATGGATCATAATTTTCCGCTTATTTACTGTCTTGTCATATAATGTGCAATCAAAAAAGTTGCAAATTACTACCCATGAATCATGATGCACAAATGGAGTTAATGCATTTATGCAAAGTTTTATCAGAGGGAGAGAGATCTTCAAATATTTTTTTTTACTACAATTTACATTTCATTCCTTCTCCCATTATTATGGAATTTTTCCCTAGGAATTTCCTTCGTATGTGATGGAATACAGTTGAATGGGTCATTCATAGTTTGGACATCTGACTTCAAAATATTGAGGGTGTATATGCATCTTGCACCTTAGTTCTACTGGTATGAACTTAATGGAGGCATCTGGGCTATAGTCTTGATATGCATAAAAAATGTGCTTCGATGTCTGCCGAAGGAAGGATTTTCTTCTTCTTTAAAGCTGGATATCCAAATGTCGTAAAACTTAATTGTTTGGAATGTCACTGGATTTTCCCATTAGAATAGAATATCCTCAAGTTATTCTGTTATCATAAGCACATGGATTCCAGAACTTAATACTGGATATCTTAAGAATTGTTATAATTAGGCTTGTCAGAGTTGTATGTGACAGCAAATATTATATGCTGCAACAATCAGCTGTTCTTTCTAATCCCGCCAGTCCTAGAATCTTCCAAAGTGTTGTATGCATAAAAACAAATTTTTTTATTATCCCTTAGTATGTACCTGGACGCATGTTAATCATTATCAGCCATCTTTTACTCCATTCTCTGTTTTGTCTGCTGAGGGCAACCAATTAAAGCTTCAAATTGTTGGCAACTTTGTCTTTTTGTGTTATTTCTACCAACCACTACAACTGACTTTTAGAACTTTTCTAGTATTGCGGTTAAATATTTTATTGATTCTTCATCTCTATTTGCAGACCTTGTTCTTAAAGACAAGATTTTTGTTTACGATTTGGCTAATCAGCGAATTGGTTGGACAAACTATGACTGTAAGTCCTTCCACCTTATCAAGTTTCTATTATACTATTTTTTTTTATTTAAATTTATTTTTAAGGTTAACTTTCACAAGGTCACCTTGAACTTTGGGTGTTTGCAAAGACTCCCCTAACTTTATAAATAAGATAAAAAACCCCAAAAACACCTGAATTATTAGAAATTGTTAAAAACGGCGTTAATATGAAAGAGTAAAAGGTCTAAACTAGGCTTTTCTTAATATTAATATCTATTAGCAAAAGTAAAAAGTACATGGGGGCCTGTTACATGACAACTTGAACTAATTGCTGTCTCTCATGGTCTTTTAGTGAAACAAAATTCATACAGTAAGGGGGTTTTGAGAAAACAGCCCTGAGCTCTAGGGAGCTTTTGTGGAATTTGCCCCATCTTTTAACTTTTTTGTGCCTCCAGTAAAGCTATATGCATCAATTCATGTCCTTTGGTTTCAGGTTCTTTGTCTGTCAATGTTTCTTCATCTTCTGGTAAGAATGAATTTGTCAACACCGGGCAGCTTGATCTCAGCGGTTCATTACGCAATGTAAATTATAGTATTTTGCCGATGGGCCTCGTAGTTTTCCTTTTACATGTTTTTGTATCTCACATCAAGCAATTGCAACTTATGTAGAATGCAATGTTCATAGTTTCTCACGCACATGCACAGAGATTGTTGTAAATCCATTCTTTATTAACGTATTAGTCAAAGAAAGATGGCAGTGTTTATGATAAATTTCTTGTACAGATATCGTGTTCAATTTTTTGTCCTAATCTCCTCACTTCATAGGCCATGTTTGTTTTTTTTAATAGTGAGGGTACTGTTTAAAAATAATTTGGACCCACCGTCTAAGCCCATGTTTGTTTTCTATCCGGTTCGGACCATTTTTGAGGAGATTAGTACCCAAAAAGTGGACTAAGTTTAGCTCAGCCCGCCCCACTTTTACAATATAGATGCTAATTATCTAGTGGGATCAAGTTGTTTCTTTTTTGATGAAAATGCCCATTTTCAACGATTTTTTTTCTGCAGTAATTTATTCACGGATTTTTTTCTTTCCGCCACTTTAATTTCTTCCGTGACCTTTTGTTTTGGCGAGATTTTGATCTCAATGGAGCAACAAGTTCTTTGATTTTGATCTTGCATTCCTATGTTAATTATAATATTAAATTATCCAGTAAATTGAAAAGGATGAGATTTTGCATAAGGAAAAGAATACGAATTCTTATTTGCTTAAATGGTTGAAATTGATGAGAACCTTTAATTAGTGCTAACATTTAATTTCATGTTTAACTATATGTTCTAGATTTCTAGGACTGCATTCTGTTAAATGAATATTTTTCGTTTCGACATAGGTTTAAGGTGGTATACGGTGTCTATTTGTTGAACAGTTTCATGACTAAACCTCCCCCCGCCCCCCCCAGCCACAAAAACATATGCGTTAATACATCGTTAATACAATATTAATTGACTTGAGGGTTGAGGGTAAGAAGGCGTTCTGATATTATACTGGTCTGAATAGTAATAATTCTCCCGAAAACAAACATTAGACTTGACTATTTTAGGTTAGTTCACGGTTTAGTCTGTGTGAAATAAACATTTTATAGGACTAAAATAGTCCCACGATAACACAATTTCAGTACTATTGTCTGAAGATCCAATACTCTCTAATCTGGAGATGATAAAAAAACAAATGTGGCTTTAGTACTCTCGTTGCGCTGGTCCTAAAAATGCCGCCTTTTTGAATTTGAACAGTTCCAAGATCCACACATCGAAGGTTTTTTGGTCGGCCAGGGTAAATGTACTTGAAAGGTTAACTTCACACAAACCCCGATATTTTGGCGCACCCTGAAAAAACCGCTAAGCTTTAAAAATGTCAATTGACCCCACTAACGTTTTGGTGTGTCTTAAAACTTCTCAAAACATTTGCAATTTTTTCAGCATACCCCACTAATAGCGTAATGGAGGTTTTCTAAATTTCTATTAATGGTACGTAGGGTGTTTTTTTTTTTTTTTTGAAAAGGTACGTAGGTGTTTTCTAAAATATAGTGTTAAATGTTTAGTTTTTTGTCCCTTCCGAAAGTAATGTTGAAAAGATGGAAGGTATCTTGAAACATTGAGCGCTAAGACCCCGGGGGATATTCTAAGAAAAATTACAAACGTAGAGAGTTGAATGAAATGGTCAAATTTAGAGGTTAATTAACATTTTTAAAGTTCAGGTGGTTTTCTCAAAATATGGTAAAGATAGGGCTTTTACGTGAAATTTACCCTAATCTGAATTTGGGTGTCATGTGGGCCTAGTTTTAAAAATCTAAGCCTGATTTAAGGCTTTAATGGGCCTAGGAAGCCTCAAAACGACAAACGTGCGTCCAAATTTTCAATTGGAATATTTTGCTTAATATTTCATATATTGAAAATAAAGTTACAGGTTCAAACTAAAATAAAGTTAAAGATAATGAATTAAACTGGTTGGCTCTGTTTCTGCTTTGGCTTCTTTTTATAGAGAATCTACGACGCGGTCAAGAGGCGCATGTGATTACTTCTATATCCATTAATTCTGCTCATTTTATTTTTCTTTTCCCTCTTGGTTCTTAACTAATTTATATAATTATCTATCGAGTTACTCTTGACAAGATTCCTTGGATTGTGTCATCTTCTTAGGATGATGGGGAAATTGGGCAACTATGATTCGGTGTTAGGCCTTAGGTAACACTTAACTCTTCAGCCAAATCAATCGGATCGCTACAAGCTAGTCATTCTGAGGAAATATTGACTCTGCATCCTTCTTTTTTTTTTCCAATTTTATTTATAGGGTTAATTGTCATTATAGGAGGGTAACCACTTACTGTCCCAAACTTTTTCTATTAGCACTTAAATCTTTTCATGTTCAAACAAATTTTCTAATTATTGTATTTATCACATAGAGATCACATGACATCAATGTATTGCAGAGAGATCTCATAGTGTATCAGAAAGTATATGGTAGAGAGATTCTTTACTTTTTTATATGTGCCGAACGTACACCTCAAGTAAAGAAGCATTTAGTGGGGAGATTTCATAGTGTACTAGGCGTATCTACAGTTTAACTATTTTAATTTTATTTACTAGTTAAAGAGGGTATAGTGAGAAACTTGATATCCACTGAAATTGATTTGGATTCGGAGTCGCATATATCAGTTTAACGTTCAACATAACTTGTACAAACACATAAATTAATGAGAAGCTCTGAATCCACCTAATTTCTTACCTTGACGAAAAACCTACTCTAGCTGAGGGATGGCACTCAGTGGTCAAATATTTGTTAGCAACTTCTGTGGATCTTTTCCTCTTGCAGTATGAACGTTGGGACCATGACGTGTTGTATACATACAATTCAAATCAGTATTATTGCATTATAAATTAAAATCATCCTACTCAGATGATAGTATCTCTACGTATGATCTTGAACCTTTGCTCGGATTCATGGTTCTACAATATTCCCTCTTTCCCCTTAATTAGGAATAATCTAGAGAGAGGGAGGAGAAAAAAAAAAAATGCGAGAGAGCTTGTTTTCAGAGATACTGCCGGCCACAAGAATGACCTTTACCAGCCAACTTATCCCCACGTTTTGGTCTTTAGCTAGATGCGAACTAACCTTTGCCTACCACTTCCGTGCATTTGCACGCTCAATCATTAACTAGGATTTGGGATCATTCAACGCGCAACATGCGTGTAGTGGTTACCATCACCTTTAAATAATATTCCATTCAGTTCTGAACAGTAGGGACGATCTTGAAGTAAAGAACAAATTTATAATCTCAGTGCATGGCCTTTTGGAAATCTAAAAAAGCAGCCATGGATTGTATTGATGCGTGTTGGTGTGCCGTATTATTAAGAAGACAGGATAAAAGAATTAGGTTGGCGACGTCAATTAGAGTACAAAATCATAATAACCCTCAAATTGTCACGATGACTTGGGAGTTTTGTTAGGTACTTTAGCATGATCTTTTGGTATGGTATATATAAGAGCAACCAAGGAATAAGGATCTCATGAGAGCCACTCCTACATGTAGATTTAGCGAAGGATTTGGTGAAGAACAGGAATTTTGGACACAGAGAGTTGGTTTTAGAGTTGTTCGATCGACCACGGTGCAAGACCGGTCGAACGAATACGTGCACAGATCGTAAGGCTAATTATGGGCTTGGTGCGGTCGACCGCCAAACCCTGTAATCAAACCTGAAAATCTGGAGTTGGGTGCGGTCGACTGCCGCGGTCGACCGCCAAATCATTCAGTTGATTTTCTGGGTTCTGTGTTTGTCGCGGTCGACCGCGTATCGAGTCAGGCCCATATTTGAGTTTCTTGTTCTGATTTGGATTTGTGTTTGGTATAAATATCAAACACGTTTTAGGGTTTATTTGGGGGGATTGTTTAGGGAATATTTGGAGCACAGAAAAAATATATTTTCTTGAGCTATTGGTTAGGGTTTTGTTTGAGAGATTAAGAGCTTTGTTGGTGAGATTAATTGGTGAGTTTGAGTGATTTGTAATCTCAGTTTGTACTCTTCTTCTCTATTAGTGAAAACCTCATCCCAGTTTGTACTCTTCTTCTCTATTAGTGAAAACCTCATCCCCTTCTTGCCCCGTGGACGTAGGCAATTTGGCGAACCACGTAAAATTGGCGTGTTTATGTTTGTGCCGTTATTTTGGTTTTTTTGGTCTTCTCTCTCGGTGTTTGGTTTGGTTCCTCGAAGCACAACAATTGACTTCCTCGCACAACAAATGATATCAGAGCTTTGGTTACGCTTGGGCTAGGTGGAGGAGTAGATCGCTTTGGAAGCTCGTCTAGGGCTTTAGTTGGTGATAAAGATAAGATTTTTACTATTGTGGATCTTGTCTACCATCGTGTGGGGGTGAGATCTTTCGGAGGCTCTTATTAGGGTTTCAGTTGGAGGTAAAACTTTATCGTTTTTAGTTGGGATCTATTCTTCGATTTGTTCCGCATTGGTTTGTTGGTGCTTTGAGAAAGATGACTAAGAAAGAAGGAGTTGTGCAGGGTACTTCTGGTGTGAAGACCGTCCAAAGTTTGAATATTCACTCTATGAAGATAAACGTGAAGAAGTTTAATGGCACAAACAATTTTGATTTTTGAAGATGCGAAGTCTTGGATGCGCTCAACACGTAAAATTTGGAGGATACTTTGGAGTTAGACGGGAAACCAGATGACATTGAGAAAAATGTTTGAAAAAAGATGAATAGAACGGCGTGTGGTGTGATTAGGTCTTTCCTTACCTAAGATCTAAAATATGATGTGATCAATGAGACTTCGACTAAGAAGATTTGGGAGATCCTAGAGAGTAAGTATTTGACCAAGAGTGTGAAAAATGGTTTGCATTTGAAGAGGAGGCTTTATCGCTTCTAATTGAAGAAATGGATCTTCATTGGTGATCACATGAACCACTACATGAAGCTTCTCGTGAATTTAGCGAATGTAGATGCTATGATTGAAGATGAGGAAAATGTGTTGTTATTTTTGAGTTCCTTGCCCGACGAGGAATATGAGACATTCGTTCTTACTCTTATTAATGGGAAGACATCTCTTTCATATAGTGAGGTCACCGCTGCACTTGTGAATTATCATCTTCGGAAGAAGGATACGGAGATTTCGATTGATACAGTAGCGGGGGTATTGGTCGCAAGAGGGAAGAGTCCAAACCGTAGTAGGAGATCACAGTCTAGAGGAGCACACCTTGCAGTTAGT